ATTATTTTATCATTTAAGTTTTCCTGTTAACTTAGTACTTTTTCCAGGCTCAAATTAAGACTAGCATCACCAACATTTTTATAATTCCCTCTTATATATGTACTACTCTACTTTTCCCACATTTTCCAATGAGAATTCTGCCCATTGCGTCTGTATTTTCTTGCTACAGTTTCCTCTGGACTCTGTGCAGTGTAGTCTCTCTTGTATTACTTTATTAACACTTAATTAGGGCAATTGCAATACACCTCTTATTCAAATCTTTATTTATTAAAATTCAGTTTTCTCTTTTCTCTTTTTAGTCACATTTGATATTTAGCACGTGTTTTAAAATTTTCCCTTCTTTGATTTTCATGCCAAAACAATCTCTTTGTTCTCTGTTATATGTATTCATGTTAATGTGAATTAATCTGGCCAAAAATTTGTGAGCTATTCCACTTGCTTCCCTAGAATTCAAGCAAAATGTTCAAATAATGAAAAAGGGAGGATGAGCATTTATAATACATGAAAGCAAAGGAAAGCCTACAATTGTAAAGTCAGTGCAAAAAAGCAGACCTGACAAATACTTGAAGTCTGTACTAAATACTAGAGTGACTGCTGATAAACTGAGAGATGGAAAACTGCTCCCTAGATCTTGACTAAGAAAGAGATTTCTCCAGAAGGTGGTGTCATGATAATAAAAGTCTGTTCAGTGATACTTGACTAATTTGAGAACAAGGGCAAAGATGGGAGTAAGAAAACCAGAATATGCTTCTAAAATATCCTCAGAATACATTCCTTCTATAAAAAATATAAAATGAATCCATAAAACCTAACAACATGCTATGAAAATAGAAACAGGAAGCAAGAAATGGGTCCTGGAAAATAAAAAACAAAATTGTCTAGGAAAAAATCAATGTGTATGAGAAAATAAAGCTTAGGAAATCCACCCACGTCTGTCTAATAGAAGTTTCTGAAAAAGAAAAGAGTGATAGTGAAATAAAGGAAATAATCACAATAAGAGTGGAATACATTTTCACAAAGTGAAAGAAAGGCTTTGAATTTTATTTTAAAGGCCCTGTCAAATGTTAGAGCCTTTAAAAATAAATATGTAGACACATTCCACTTAAATCTGGAGATTCAGAGAAGAAAGATAAAATCATAAAATCTTCCCCAGGGAGTGGGGAAACAGATGCAAGCTGACCGTGGATGTCCACATATGAAATGTAGCCCATGTAGCTGGAGGCCATGTGCTGCTGCGCTGACCGTGGGTCAGCCCCTACCACTGCCATGCCTTACTCAAGCCCAACTCCCAACTGCCGGCACCAGACTTTCTTTGGCCGAGAAACTTTCTCATCTAATTGTTGCCTGTGCCAGGAAATCCAGTTCCACATCCAGTGAACTCCATATCTGATGTCTGGAAAAACTTGGGGAATAGACCCCCTAGACCTTCACTTCTCAGATGGATTCACTTTGAGGAACATCATCTTAGCTGAACTTGAGGGATACTCTGTGGGATTAGGTAGGCTTCATTTACCCAGGGTGGTAACTCACTTGATAACAAAGCTTCTACTGGCCACCTTCCCTTCTCTGTACAGCTTACTGTCTCTGCTTCAAGTGTTTCTTAGGTTCACCTATAAAATCAACTATTTAAAATCAAATGCATGCCTCAAAGTCTGCCCTGAGGAAATGTAAACTACAAAAAATGTTTTATCAGGATTTTCATTAGTAGTCGTAGAAAAAAGCAAGGCCTGCAAAGTTCACAACAAAACCAAATTTTCACTACAAAAAATGTTTATCAGGATTTTCATTAGTAGTCATGGAAAAAAGCAAGGCCTGCAAAGTTCTCAACGAAACCAAATTTCCACCTGAAATAATATGCCTCTTCACTGGCATATGGATAAAATAAGATAAATGACATTATGCCAGGACCCAGATACATTTCTTAAGTGCTGAAATATGACTTAAAAAAAGAGCTAAGAGGAGTAAAAATATTCAAATTAAAAATAGCCCAGATATGTAAATATTGAAATGAGATACCAGGACAAGAGTCATATAACTCACTTGAAAGGACATCAGTAGAGACTTGTTTTCTCAAATAAACATGCTTGTGACTTATTATTGTTTTGTTTTAATAGCAAAATAGATGTGAAAGGCAAAGGAAGAAAAGAAAGATATACCCATTTGAATGCAGAATTCCAAAGAATAGCAAGAAGAGTTAAGAAAGCCTTCCTCAGTGATCAATGCAAACAAATAGAGGAAAACAATAGAATGGGAAAGCCTAGAGATCTCTTCAAGAAAATTAGAGATACCAAGGGAACATTTCATGCAAAGATGGACATAATTAAGGACAGAAATCGTATGGACCTAACAGAAGCAGAAGATATTAAGAAGAGATAGCAAGAATACACAGAAGAACTGTACAAAAAAATCTTCAAGACCCAGATAATCATGATGGTGTGATCACTCACACCACATACAGCCAGAAATCCTGGAATGTGAAGTCAAGTTGGCCTTAGGAAGCATCACTATAAACAAAGCTAGTGGAGGTGATGGAATTCCAGTTGAGCTATTTCAAATCCTTAAAGATGATGCTGTGAAAGTGCTGCATTCAATATGCCAGCAAATTTTGAAAATTCAGCAGTGGCCACAGGACTGGAAAAGGTCAGTTTTCATTCCAACCCCAAAGAAAGGCAATGCCAAAGAATGCTCAAACTACTGGATGATTGCACTCATCTCACATAGTTGCAAAGTAATGCTCAAAATTCTCCAAGCCAGGCTTCAACAGCATGTGAACTGAGAACTTCCAGATGTTCAAGCTGGATTTAGAAAACACAGGGGAACCAGAGATCAAACTGCCAACATCAGGTGGATCATGGAAAAAGCAAGAGAATTCCAGAAAAATGTCTACTTCTGCTTTATTGACTACACCAAAGCCTTTGACTGTGTGGATCACAACAAACTGTGGAATATTCTTAAAGAGATGGGAATACCAGACCACCTGACCTGCCTCTTGAGAAATCTGTATGCAGGTCAAGAAACAATAATTAGAACTGGACTTGGAACAATAGACTCATTCCAAATTGGGAAAGGAGCACATCAAGGCTGTCTATTGTCACTCTGCTTATTTAACTTATATGCAGAGCGCATCATGAGAAATGCTGGGCTGGATGAAGCATAAGCTGGAATCAAGATTACTGGGAGAAATACCAGTAACCTCAGATATGCAGATGACACCACCCTTATGGCAGAAAGTGAAGAACTAAAGAGCCTCTTGATGAAAGTGAAAGAGGAGAGTGAAAAAGTTGGCTTAAAACTCAACATTAGAAAACTAAGATCATGGCATCCGGTCCCATCACTTCATGGTAAGTAGATGGGGAAACAATTAAAATGATGACAAACTTTATTTTCTTGGGCTCCAAAATCACTGCAGATGGTGACTACAGCCATGAAATTAAAAGACACTTTTCCTTGGAAGAAAATTTGTGACCAACCTAGACAGCATATTAAAAAGCAGAGACATTACTTTGCTAACAAAAGTCCATCTAGTCAAGGCTATGGTTTTTCCAGTAGTCTTGTATGGATGTGAGAGTTGGACTTTAAAGAAAGCTGAGTGCCAAAGAACTGATGCTTTTGAACCGTGGTGTTGGAGAAGACTCTTGAGAGTCCCTTGGACTGCAAGGACATTGAACCAGTCCATCCTAAAGGAAATCAGTCCTCAATATTCATTGGAAGGACTGATGCTGAAGCTGAAACTCCAATACTTTGGCCACCTCATTCGAAGAGTTGACTCATTAGAAAAGACTCTGATGCTGGGAAAGATTGAAGCCAGGAGGAGAAGGGGATGACAGAAGATGAGATAATTGGATGGCATCACTGACTCAATGGACATGAGTTTGAGTAAGCTCCAGGTGTCAGTGATGGACAAGAGGCCTGGTGTTCTGCAGTCCATGGGGTTGCAAAGAGTCGGACATGACTGAGCAACTAAACTGAACTGAATAGTAAAATAATGGGAAGTACATAGGAGAGTTTGGAAAAAGTGGGGTTTGGAAAAGAATATGTACAAGAAAGTGAATAATTTTAAATTAGGTAAATTAACCATTTTGATTGGTTGAAAAAGTGTCATAAAATATACTGCATCTGATTTTGAAATTTGAAACAGCATGCTTAGTGACATACAATAATATTTACATATCTATGATTAATTATATTACTGGGTTTAGAGAATCTTTATATAATAGGATATGATATCTGAAACTAGGTAGACTTAATGAAGTTATAAGTTCACTGCATGTGACTACTTTGATGATGTAAACATAATAGGAGAGCAGATAGAGACTGGGAGATGAAAAGAGAAAAAATATTTGGAAGGAAATGGAGAAGTACTATTTTCTTAATTGTACAAAGTGGTAGATACATAATGTCCAAAACTGAATGGGAAGTAGAGTTCTAAATATAGTATTTAAAAAAGGTAACCAATAAGACATGTTAATTAAAATTAATAAATATTTCAGGTTATGGTAAGAGAGATTATTTTAACCAAACAAAATTCCACAGGCTTTTTAGTGAAAAGTTAATTAGAGTTAACTGAGTTGAAGAATCAAGAAATCAATGTCCTGTTGGCACAGCTAAATAAGCAGCTCTGAAATCACCCTGATTGTGACCTTTGGAAGAGTACGCCTCTCCTTCTCGTGCGTTGTTCTTTACATAATAAGGATAATAGTAGTAGGTACATATTAGGGCTCTGGTGAGTGTTGAATGACTGCTGTTCCATCGCTCAGTCTTGTTTGACTCCATGCACCACAGGACACCAGGCTTTCCCTGTCCTTCACTATCTCTGGAGTTTGCCCAAACTCATGTCCATTGAGTCAGTGATTCTATCCAACCATTTCATATGTAAAACACTTAAATGTGGCTGCATATTTTAAGAAACCAGTAAACATGACAAACCTGAGTTAGTTTGCTAGGGCCGTTGTCACAGAGCATCACAGGCTGAGCATCACAGGCTGAGCATCAGGACTTGCCTTACAGTTGTGGAAGCCACAAGTCCAGGAGCAAGGTGTGTAAGGCTCTGCTTTCTCTGAAGGGGCTTGGCAAGGATCTGTTCAGGCCCTCTTCTCACTTCTGGTGGGGTTGGCTGGGGAAAGTACAACTCCAGTCTTGACATAATGCTCTCCTTCCAAAGTGTCTGTGCCCACATTCCTAGTTTTTTATAAGGACACCAGTCGTACTTGGATTAGGGGCCCATTTTACTTCAGTATGACCTCATTTTAACTAATTACATCAATGACAGATCTGCTCCCAAACAAGGTCACATTCTAACATCCTATGGGGCTTCCTGCGTAGCTCAGTCAGTAAAGCATCTGCCTGCAATGCAGGAGATTTGGGTTCAATTCCTGTGTTGGGAAGATCCCCTGAAAAAGGAAATGGCAACCCACTCCAGTATTTTTGCCTGGAGAATCCCATAGACAGAGGAGCCTGGCAGGCTGCAGTTTGTGGGATAAGAGTTGGACATGACTTAGTGCTATGTTTATTTCTTTTAGCATACTATAAATTAGGACTTCAACATATGAATCTGGAGAGGGGGATACAATTCAATTCCTAAAAAATCATTTTGGAACAGCCACATAATATACTATTTAGAGTTACAGATTGAACTGTTAGGCAAACTAGAAACAGTAAAGGACAAAAATGAGCTGAAGTTATGGCAATGGCCGAAAAAGAGACCACTTTCCACAGTGTCCACTTAGATGGTGTAAAATTTAAAAACTTAAAATGTACATATATCCCTTCAATAACCATAAAAAGGATAATATGAGAAAGTGTTCATTTTAACCAACTAAAGATTAATGGTAATTATGAAACACAATCTGCAGATAAATACAATCTTAAGATTTTAGCAGCATTTTTTCAATCTTTAAAGTGATTTACTTTGCAAGTTGATCTGAAAATCTTGCTAAACTAAATCTTATATTACAACCTGTAGCATACCCAAAACTCATATTATAAGGCCATAATTTATTTTTTGTTTTAAATTTTGACAAATAACTTTGAAATACAGACACCAGAATTGAAGCATCAGCCTTTTCTACTTGGAAATTTGACTGAACAGTTTATTAGATAAGTTCAATTTATCTGTCAGACATGATATATATTCGTAACATAATTTTTAAATTGCAACATGGTATTTTTATCACTTATGCCAGTCAAAAGCATGTGTTTGAAGGCAACTACAGTTTTCAAATGATTTTAGCAGAACTGGATTTTTCATCATCAAAGAGGCTTTCCTGACCTAAACTGTCTCCTTAATCCAAAATGGTCTCCCTCTGTCTGTAAAGAAGGCTGAGTGTGAAGAACTGATGCTTTTGAACTATCATGTTGGAGAAGACTCTTGAGAGTCCGTTGGACTGCAAGATCAAACCAGTCCATCCTGAAGGAAATCAGTCCTGTATATTCATTGGAAGGACTGATGCTGAAGCTGAAACTCCAATATTTTGGCCACCTGATGTGAAGAAGTGACTCATTTAAAAAGACCCTGATGCTGCGAAAGATTAAAGCCAGAAGGAGAAGGGGATGACAGAGGATAAGATGGTCCAAAGACATCACCAGCTTGAATGGACATGAGTTTGAGCAAGCTCTGGGAGTTGGTGATGGACAGGGAAGTCCATGGGGTCACAAAGAGTCAGACATGACTGAGTGACTGAACTGATTATCCATCCCTAGATATTTTCTTTCCCATTATCCTAATTTTATTTTTAATTTATTTTTAAATTTTATGTAGCACTTATTATTTGAAATACCATTATGTATTTTACTTGTCATTTACTGTCTGCCACTGAATTGTAAATGCAATGAGAGAAAATAATTAGTTTGTCACATTTCTGTTGGTATCCTTAGATCTCACAGTGGCATGTGGTATGAAAAAGGACATATTACTATAAAGCACAATAAATAACTCTTTAATAGATGAGAGTCCTGCAAAAGGAAAAAAAAGGATAATTTTCACTAATTTTTCTATTAATATCCTTATTTTTGCTTCAAGTTTAAACAGATAATAAAGATTACTTATAGGGCAATCTTGTAAGAAAAGATCTTTCTTTATCTCTATTCAAATGTGACTTATTCAGATTATTTCAATGAAAATTTTAAGTAAAGTGAAATCTCTTTGTATAAACATAACACTTTGTTTTCCATCTCTAGTTTTAACTTATTTTTACAAATTTTAAAACTGTTAAGAAAAACTACCTCTAAATTTCAAAACAAGCAAAAAAATCTGATTAGTATATCTTTACAATATCATATGAGGGAAAATGCAGGAGACTTAAGAGTCCCAGGTTCGATCTCTGGGTGAAGGAGATCCCCTGGAGAATGGTAGGGCAACCCACTCCAGTCTTCTTACCTGGAGAATCCCATGGACAGAGCAACCTGGAGGGCTACAGTCCATAGGGGTGCAAAAGAGTCAGACAACTGAAGTGGCTTAGCACACATGCATGCATGAAAGAAAAAACCATCAAAGCATTGTGATGTATGATATTTAAATTTAAATATGAACCTTACACAGAAAATCTTATTACAAGATGCCTTTATTAAGTACATAGCTTTTCAAATACTTTAAATTGATCTGAATATCTTTCTGAGTGTCTCCTTTGTTAATGAATGGAATAAAATTTTTGACACATTTTCAAATTTTCTATTAGCATTAATGTCAAAATTTTACCCTTTTTTGAAAACTGTCCTATAATAAAATTAGGAATATGTTACAGAATGTATATAATATTATGTTAATTTTGAGAGAAATAATGAACACCTATGCAGTTTAAGAATAAGAACATTACCAATAGCATGAAGATCTCTCACACACTTCTAAATGATGTCCTCCCTCCATTTCAGAGGTATACACACTCCTCTAAACTTTTATATATGTATTTTTCTGTAATTTCTGATACTTAATTTTTGGATGCCATAAGGTTTATTCAGATAAACTCTAAAAATGGCTTGGTATAAATATTTTTCTCCTTAAAAAACTGCATCTTTAATCATGTAAGTAGGTTCTTTCACTATTTTGAGCTGCCCTGGTAGCTCACACGGTAAAGAGTCTGCCTACGATGTAGAAGACCAGGTTTAATCCCTGGGTTGGAAAGATCTCCTGGAGAAGGGAATGGCTCCCCACTCAGAAAGTCAGACCCAACTGAGCAACTAACACTTCACTGCTGTAAGTTTCTCAAGCCCCTTAAAAAAATGCAAAATACTAAAGAAGTCAAGACATGTAATGGAATTCAATGCTTCAGGAGAAGCCTGGACTAACGCAGACTTTAGTCAAACGCAAGCTAGAGGAAGATGCAACATGATGCAGTTGTCAAGAATATATATGATTTCAGTTGTTGCTTGTTGTTTAGTTGCTCAGCCGTGTCTGACTCTTTTGCAACCCCATCGACTATGGCCTGCCAGGCTCCTCTGTCCATGGTATTTCCCAGGAAAGAATACTGAAGTGGGTTGCCATTTCCTACTCCACTATGATTTTAGAATCATACTGTGTTTAAAAGTATATCATCAACAGGGAAGGAAGTGACATTTATTTTGTGCTTTGTCGCTGTTGTTATTTAGTCACTAAGTCCTGTCCCACTCTTTGCGACCTTATGGACTGTAGCCTGCTAGGCTCCTCTGTCCATAGGATATTTCAGGCAAGAATACTGAAGTGGATTGCCATTTCCTCTAGGGGATCTTCTGGTGCTATTAGAAAGATGAAAAATACAATTTACAATAAATATATATTTTATAATATGTTAAAAATATACACAAACACCCACCATTATCAAATATCATGAATTTTTTATTCAGAAGTTTAAAAATAGCCTTGTTTTTACTTAGTACTTATCACACTCAAAATAACAATGTGTTTGCTACCGACACAAAATAGTGGATTAGAGGCTAAAATAAACAGAACATTTTGAACATATCATTTATAGTAAGCAATTATGTTTGTAAAACATATAAGATGGCAGCTGAGCAAACTGTAAAATTGACTGTAAGGAAACTAAAGTATATTGCTTCTTTTGCAATGATGTAGAAACATCTTTCTAATTGAATATTGAATCTGTTGATAATAAAGAATTTCACTTTATCATACTAACCTCCAGGTTTATACAAATGATAGGATTTCTCTTTTTTATGTCTGTGTACTATATTTGTTGCAATGAAGCAATGGTGTGAAGTGATATGTGAATCACATTTTCTCAATCCATTCATCTGTTGACAAACACTTGCCTTTTTCATTAATAATATATTCTGGGTTTAGGCAAATGATGAATCAAAATAAAGCACAAATAGTTTAAATGTCTATTTTATCCAGGTATGATTGTGTGATTATATTCTGGCTAAGGAGATGTAGACAAAAGTGGTTTTGCACAACTTCTAGGAAATACCTTTCAAGGGAAAGACTAAAGCCCTCCCCTCTCTTTCTACTTGGTGGACAGTACTCTCGCAGCCAACCAGATCAGGAGCTGCACTATGGAATGGCCATTTATGGCAAAGTAATAAAATTAAAGGAAGTTGGGAGTCTGACTCCATGGAGAACTGAACACACAAGCTCTGAACTGACCATTTTTAGAATTTCAAAATGTGAGAGAAGAATATTTTGTTATACATGGTTATTTTGGTTTAACCTGTTACAAGCAGTCAAACCTAATCTTAGCTAGTATAAAGCCCATCTTAAAAAGGTTTTAATTCTAGCTTTTAACAGAGTGCAAGTGATTGTTGAAGAATTAGTACTCTATGGCCAAGTAGGACTTTCCCCAAAATTAGAAGGAAAGTATAATATAAGAATATCTCTCAATGTATACTCCCTTACTAAGAGGTTAAACAGTTGTTCCAGGTTCCTTAGTTTACAAAGGAAATAAGGAACAAAGGAAATTCTTGAGATATGGATTTTCAGTGCTAAAACTGGAATAGTCTTGTGCAACATGTAATGTTTGGTATTGTCTATTTAGTCTCTACAGTGTACAAAAGAAGGAAATAAATGAGTAATTCATTATGTTTAGAAACAACAGTTACTGTAAAACATTCATTTAATTAAAAATGTCATTCTTCAGATTATGGGATATTAGTTTATTTCTGACCTATATACTTACTAATAATAACTAGAAAAGGTAGAAAAATAAACAAACAAGCAAAACAATTTTGTTGAAGACCTCAGAGAATGAG